TACCTTGTATTACGCGTTACCATATTACCTGCTTGGAGATTACGTTTCTCGGTCATTTCAAGTTCCTATTCCATTGGCATCAATGTATATGTACAACAGGAAGTAAATTACGGCAAACTTGTTACATTGCCCTAATTGCAATGTGCATGATAGATAAGGTTTGCACACAGGTTTTTACCAATGTCTTTGTCAATGTCAATGTACAATTTCAAAGATGTACATCACGCAAGTGAGGTCAGTGCCCAGCCAAGCCTGTTTTTGCAGCATTACAGACTTTCATATACGGCTGTCATAAACATTTTTCTGACTAACTACAAAACGCGGTAGTAGATATCAACTTGCATGTTGGAACAGTAACTGGTCAGGTCATTTATCACCTTCACACACCGACCTGTCTGACATGACAAATTAACTGGTCATTTATCACCCTCACCACAATTTACAGCTGCAGAAACTGTTAAAAAGACCGTACCACTCTTTCCTCAATGCGGTGACCAATTGTTCTACTGTAGTGGCTCTAGCATATGGTAGTCTACATGTAAACTATGGTCTGTTTGTTCAAACACCTACCCAGACAAGCCCGTATCTGCGAAACTTGGGTTTGACAGCCTATCCCTCCCCTTACAGAATATACACACAGCAACAGGCTATTCTATGTACATTATGTATGGTTTTTGCGTATCGATCCAGAGCGCACGTAAACATATGTTTGGTTTAAAAAAAAATGTCCTGCTTTCTAAAAGTCAACCACCGCTTGACCGGGCATCTGAAATTTGCAGCGGCGAAGAAAAGGATCTCTTCGATAGATAATGAACACCGGTATCCAGTGATCTTTGTTCCTATTGACTAGTATGTCCTTTTATGTCTTACAGATAGATTTTTCCGGGATTCACTTGCTGAAACTTATAGAGTCCATTCCAAGTCATAGCGCGTTTTTTAAAATTATATTTGCAATATTTTCTCGTTGTTACAAAATGATTAAAAAATTTTGCAACGTTAAATATTATGAAATTAGTATAAAAATGTACTGAACTGAGATCTTAATTTCATTTTTTTTCTGGCGTTTTTGACCAGAGGAAAAAACGGGCGGACATTTTTATATGTTTCGGCGTTGTTTAATAGCACTGTGCGACAAAGATCCTTGAGTTTACAGACATTTTTTGTGAATGGGTACCTATTTTTTCATTTCAGAAATATGGGAGGATTGTACAAAAGAAAGCCCGCTATCCATGGCCGCGGCTCTTCCCTGCAGTCGGCCGAAGTTGGGTAGACGTCACAGGTCGACGTACACATGTGCTTCTGGCACCGAGTTACTGGTACCAATGATAATTGAATGAAGTTAGAATATGATCTAAACTGACAAAACCCCGCTTCTTTGCCTGGCGTCTAGGGGACGAACGATGTGCCTTTGTCGGGAAGTGCTTCGTTTATCAAGATATTAAAATTGAATACATGTTGAATATAGTTTGCAAAATATGCGACATTGTGTATGTTTGGACGTATATCTGTGGTTTATCACGTTAGATCACGTATTAAAGGCACTAGGAACCAAGGATTTTCTACAACCATGTTGCGTTTTAGGTCACTGACCGACCCTAGGGATTGTATCGCATATTTACCGGGGAGGGCTGGTACGTGGAGGGGAGGGGCACAAAAATCGGGGTTGAAAGGAAGGCCATGGAAAACACTTATGAATCCGTTGTACAATCCTATGTTTGAAAATGTGGAAGGCTTCCCGGAAATGCAAACTGCACCGAATACTAGTATAGTATCAGTCATCACCCCTACAATTCTAGTGGTATCAGCCCAACTCCCCATAACTCCGTTCGACACTGTCGAAGCTGTCAACTTGCTTTGAGAAGAGCCTCGAAAACAAAAGGATTTTGCTGAACTAAGGCGAAGCAACGTTCGAGCTGTTAGCTATGGATGTTGTAGAGAACACAATGTGACCGAAAGCCTGTGGGTTGAGGGATCGTACAAAAACTCAACGTGTAACATGTCGTTTTGATGGACGGGTAAAAATGGTCCAATCTGTCATCTTTGCTCATCTTTGACGCCCCCAAAAATGGCGTGTAGAGATATAGAAAGAGCTTGGAAGTTTGCACGGATCTCGAGAAAATCAGAGGAAATTTGCCGGCGGAGGCGATTAAATCGTTAAGATATTAACACCCGCCCGATGCGCGGGAGACGACGACCCAAGCTGGTGTTCTGGCATGGCAGGACGGGGCGGTAAAATACAGCTTGATCATGAAAGGCGGCCGACGTGACATAAAAAAAGCACTGGCTACATGTAAGTTTTGTTGACAGTACGATCACGCGTTGTTGGCCGAAGAAACTCTGGAGGCTATCGTAACACATTATTACGTCTACACGTATTTGTTGCATATTTCAAGATGATTGGCAAACAGTAACGTTCGTGTTACAGTAGTAAGGTTACACTCGAGGTAGTGAGTACAAGGACCGCGGCGTACCGTATCAAATGGGTGCTGTTGACTATTTTATCTGTTCGCCGTATTTGTTTAGATTTTGTAACGTGTTAAAACTGTTACTTTGCAAGAAGTGAGGCTTGCCCGTTCGATCTTGACAGGACATACTAGTATGCTAGTAAAACTAATAGTGTATGACGCGCCTCCTCAATAAATTGTAACGCTAAAACTCTTGAATGTGTAATTCCTCTTTAAAAGAGATGTCAAACAGCAAAGTGCTCCTCAACATTCAGAAAGTAACTTCCAGTGGGTCAACTACATGTAAATATAATTAAACATAATCTCGACACAATCTGACGGGAAACAAAAATTGAGTTGACGGACGGAAAAAAAAATCAAGCTGACTAGAACTCTGATTATGTCGGCTTAAACCGACAGTACATTTTAATACAGTACCGAGAAACGCCACGGCTAAAAATTTTCTCTAGATCACGAAATGATAAAAAATATTACAATCGGCGTCAAGTGTTGGTCTGCGTGGATCTTTGGTCACATTTTCGCCTAGATTTGCTACACAAATAACACCGTGAACCAGTGCTTGTAAACTTGCCCCATTTTCAATGTTAACTGAGAAGTTCCATCTGTATTCAACTTATTTTAATGCTAGTATAAACGCAAGAATCCATCCAACACGCTTCAGTGGTCGGTCGAGATGACAAGTGTTAGCCATGTTAGCAGCTGTCTTGAATTCTTTCCGAAGCCTCGCTAGATCTCATAAAATGCACGAGGGCCTAACTGATTTTGGACCCCTGGCGGCTTTCCTCGTACTGTAGCAGAAATTCTGGATTCTTTCTAAATTATATGTGTACGTGTATGAAAAGAACGATTTATCAACAACGGAATAGATAAACACAAAATCGTCGCCTGTGTTTTTTTAAAACATCATACTTGTTGCCGTTGCTGCTTTCGCGGTCAATGTAATATTGCAGATGCACCCGTACAATTACGAGGCGAATTGGAATGGTCCAGAAAAACGCGTTGTTTGGAATAGCAGTGGGGGGGTGGAACTTCATGCAGATACGGTGAGTTTCCGATAAGTGGTTCCAGATGTTTTTGCCCGTGCTTAAGAGATGGCAAGTTTTTTCGAAGATGTTCGCAGTCAAAATGCATTCTTCCGTACGTTGCATTTCTGTGTAATTTTGCATGTGGTGTGGCATTATGTCCGCGATGATGCACGTCTTTTTATTTTTACCGTAGCTGTTTTGATATTGGAGCTTATTTTTGAAACAT